TGATGATGACAAAACCTTGTCGAAACGTTGTACATTTGCTGTTATATTAAAGTTTTTCTTCATTACCCATTCAAGCCGTCTCCAGCCATTATCATTTCATTATTTTAATTTTGATGTAAAACTTTATATGCGTAAATGTATAGTGTCACCTAACAGATTGCAGGTATAGACAACACCTATATGAACACTGTCTTTGATGGTGTATTTGTTACTAGTTAATGGTTTAAAAAATTAGCTAGTAAATATTACACACAGTCAAAGTAGACATCCAGCCGTACTAACATCAGGAATTTTGTACATAGTACTAGAATTAAAACCTGATTTTATGGTAATGTCAAGATTTTCTCTTTTCCGACATCCATCTAATTTCAGGTAGATTTATGTCAAATGTTACTGTATTAGGTTTATCTGTGTGGCTTGAAATTTATTTTTTGCATACATTTATGGATTTACTTCCAAATTTATATATGTTTAATGATATTAAAGCAGTGCCACTTATGTGCACTAATGAACGATACAATGCTTTCAGTCCAGACAGATTTGTTGTTTAGACGGTTGTTGATAATACTAAGCGTTACTCCTTTTAGTGGGATGGAAAATTTTGACTCGTGAGCCAACACGAGTTTTTTTATGTTTAAAAATTAGATTATCAGGATGATCAAAAAACCTTTAAAATGTTTTTAACTGATTTAATTTATTCAAAATTAATTCTTTTTCTACATTTTCAGATAATTTTATTATTTCTTGTAAATATCCAGTTAAATAAATGGATATATTCAAGTTTACTAATTTGTTCATTCACAAGAGAAGTTTTCAACATGCTTGCCTTTTCAGCCTGGGGCATTATAATGATATGGTTAAATCTACTATTTATTGGTGAAGAATAGCCCAAGAGTTGGCTGCTGGATTGTTGCCTTTCCTCTGGTTATCAGCTCAAAATTAGGGATGAGAGGAGATAGCCTTAATAACTGCTGTAAAAGCAAATTTATAGCCAGTTGCTTTAGACTAAATTGTCAAATTTTGCCCAGTACATAAAAAAACTAGAAATTTATGTAGTTTTTATCAAAATATCTTAATGCTTGTACAGTAGCAAGTAAGAGCTGTGTAACTAATACAAAGGAAAATTGTAAAATTTTTTTCATTGTTAGTATAATGTAACAGCACACAAAAAGTCCATCATATTGTACAATATTTCGTGCATCAAGGACGTTATTGTACAATATTTCGTGCATCAAGGACGTTATTGTACAATATTTCGTGCATCAAGGACGTTATTGTACAATATTTCGTGCATCAAGGACGTTATTGTACAATATTTCGTGCATCAAGGACGTTATTGTACAATATTTCGTGCATCAAGGACGTTATAAACAGAAAACATTCAAGAATTTAAGAACAAAGTTTACGGCCATCACCTTCATTCACAAAACAGTTGACAAAAAAAGATAAGATTTTAATAAGAAATCTCTTACTGTGCAAAATAACAAAAAGTCTGAACAAAGTTTATGGCCATCACCTTCATTCACAAAACAGTTGACAAAAAAAGATAAGATTTTAATAAGAAATCTCTTGCTGTGCAAAATGACAAAAAGTCTGAACAAAGTTTATGGCCATCATCTTCATTCACAAAACAGTTGACAAAAAAAGATAAGATTTTAATAAGAAATCTCTTGCTGTGCAAAATAACAAAAAGTCTGAACAAAGTATACGGCCATCATCTTCATTCACAAAACAGTTGACAAAAAAAGATAAGATTTTAATAAGAAATCTCTTGCTGTGCAAAATGACAAAAAGTCTGATTATGTAAGTGAGAGATATCTTGGTAATCTTTGTAAGATATTTATGTCACGTATTCTTGCAAAAAAATGAAAAATAACAAGCCAGTGCATAAACAGAGAAGATTTTATTTGTGTAAATTTAAAAACAGTTGAGAAATACTGTATAATTAATGTAATAAGCTTATAATAGTTACACTTGGTCAGCCTTAACTATATGTTTTTTTTTATATATCTGTTTTTATTCATACATTAAAATAATTTTATTTATTGTAAAATATTTATTCTAGCCTCTCGTTCATGACTTAGAAAAAGACTGGCCAAACTTCTTCACCCATAGTAAGGAGTCAAGTTTTTGGTAATTATTTTTCATATTCAGGAGTGAACATTCTAATACCAGTTTTTAATTAATATTGTATATGTATAGTGTCTTAATTAGAAGCTAATACAGTGCTTTGGATAGCTAGTGTATCCACATAAAATATACGTATCAATTTTATTTTACATTTATCGGTAATGGATGTACTATCACTGATGTGCTACAACATGAATTGATGTTTAAAATCTAAGTTAGTAAATTAAGTTGTCTCATGAGTACACAAGATAGAATAAAAGAAATTGATAAGTTTGTAAATCACACATTTAACTGTTGATACAAGGGAGTTTATATTGGACAGATGTGTAAAAATTAAGTCGTCTCACGAGTACACAAGATAGAATAGAAGAAATTGATAAATGTGTGATTTATAAACTTCCTTGTATCAACAGTTGAGTTTATATTGGACAGATGTGTAGAAATTAAGTTGTCTCACGAATACACAAGATAGAATAGAAGAAGTTGATAAATGTGTGATTTACAAACTTTCTTGTATCAACAGTTGAGTTTATATTGAACAGATGT